GCCCAGCGCTGTCTCTGCGGGGCGCGGCCGCGGGGAGCCTGTCCCGCCGCTCTGAGCGGGGAAGGCGGAGTCTGTGGGTCCGAACACCGCTGGTCTGTGGGGTAGTTGTTTGCTTGTTTGTTTTTCCTGGGATAATCATCTGTCCTTGTGCCAAACGGACTGTGCCTCGCGGTGGCTCAGGCAGGGAAAGGGCTGGAGCTGTGGAAGTAAACAGCACGCAGGGAGCTGTGCTGCTGCTGCTGGTGCTGCGTGTCGGTGCCCCTGGGGCACGGCCTCGGCCTCTCTGTGCCTGTCAGGTGTTGGGAACTTCCCTTCACTCAGGCCCATCGGCCTCGCAGCGTTTGGGTGCAGGTTACTGTTCCCCTCCGTGCCCGCAGTGCTGTGCGTGTGTTCGTGTGCCGCGGGGTGACAGCAGCTGTGCCTAAAAGTAGAAGCTTTATTTATAGACCCTGAGGCACTTCTGCAGGCTTTGACCACCTAGACTGCACTGTTTACAAGCTGAGGAACAGGTTTCTTGGGGAAACACAGGGTTTTGCTTTCTTGGCATTGGCTTTTTAATGCTTTACCAGAAGTTGATACTAACCTAGAGAGCTCATGCACCCATTTCCTCCTGAATTTGAAGGAAGTGCTGGCACAAGGCTAGATCTGATCAGATCTTTATGCAGAAGAAGCCATGTGATAGGAGGAATCTGATGCAGATTTAACAGAGGCAGAAGAGAGAACATAGGAGTGAAAAGGGAAGAGAAAGACTGGAGCTTATGCCAAGGTCAAGGGTGTTAGTAGAGGTAAAAGTGAGAGAGAATCCAGGTACAAAAAGGGTCAGTTAAGCAATAAATAGTCAAGACTAGACTTCATACAGAATTACAGAGTGGTTTATGCTCTCTTTTCTTTCCCCTGTTTGATGTGCTGCCTGTTAAGAAAATGACTGTCCCAGGGTTTGGCTTGTTGGTCTGTCAGTGACTGTGGATGCTGCTACAAAATTTGGGGTTTAGGTCTTGGGCCGTTTGGTGGGTTTAATTGTAGTTTGGGAGGTGTGGATTTCTTTTTTTGACATAGCAGCTCTACTATTTCTGTTCAGTCAAAGGTTTGTTCAGTGATGAGAATCACATCCGGAAACTGGAAGTGTAAATGTCACTGAATGAATGTTGGTACCGGAGCAACTTCTGAATTTTCTAAGAATTGGGGGCTTTGGTGGGATTTTCTTTGGGTTTGTTTCTTGGGGAGGTTTAAATCAATGTTCCTGTCTTTAAAATGTAAACATTATATGATTTCTAAATCACTGCAAGATTTAAAAATTCACTTTTTTCCCTTGTTTGAACATGGTAGAAGTCAGACCATGGTCGAGATCATAAAGGCCTAAGGAACTACTACTGCTACAATTGCTCTGTATGTGTGAACTGTTTGGGATTTGAGATACAGAAGTAATGTGTACAAATTTTATGTCTCTTTCACAGGTTCCTGAGTGGTGCCTGGATTTCTGGCATCCTTCTGAGAAGGCAATGTATCCTGATTACTTTGCCAAACGAGAGCAATGGAAGAAGCTGCGGCAGGAAAGCTGGGAGAAAGAGGTCAGTGCTGGTTTGATGCAGAGTTAAGTCTCTTTAGCACACAAGTGTTTGTGTGACACTTAGATGTGTTCCTGGAAAAGTTGCTGAATGCCTACCTCAGTCTCAGTTAGACTCTGCTCTGCTGGAACCCTTGTCAGTGTGAGACACTGACTTGGCCTAAAGTGCCTACACAGAGATCCTGGAGTTAGAGCTTCTGAAAGGCTCTGAAGGGAATTTGAAGCTAAAGCTGAACCTGCAGCTGTGTCTCAGTGAGAGCTATTGTAGTAGCTTTGTGAAAAAAAAAATAAATCCAAAGTGAGATGAGAGGAGATAAACAACCAGAGAATTCCTCTTCTGCTGCAGTGGAGCTCTGACACTTTGTGGTTTCACCTGTGAAAGTGACTTGCCACTGTGGTAATCAGTTGGGGATGGAGAGTTATTTCTGGCCATCCTGAACTGAGAATCAGTTGGAAAAGGTTGTTATTCTTAGAGCAGTTCTTTGCAGTTGTATAGAAACAGTTGGGTTGTACCTAGTGTGGCACAGGGCAGCTAGCCCTGTGCTGCCGGGAGAAGTGTGTACTGAAAGCATCCGAGGAGCTGTTGGTGCTGGAGCTGCAGGGCCAGTTGTGCCGGGCGTGTGGCAGATTCCAGAGCAGCAGGAGAATTCAGTCTGTTTGGGGTGGCAATGGTAGACATGATTTACATGGAAGTAATGACCTTCTAGGTAAAATTTCTCTTGCAAATCACTTCTTGCTCTTAAAAATTCTTTCTCGGTTAGGTAATATGAGCCTGCAGTGACTACTGAGTGGAAGGGAATATTGGGAAACATGAGACCTGCCTGTCAGCCAGAGGTGTCATTGCCGGTTCTTCCCCCTGGAAACAGGGGCTGGTTTAGCTCACTGGGCACTGGAAACCACATTATGGGAATGTGTGTTAGTGTGCTAAAGCATTTTCATGTCTTGTCTTCTAGATTAAGCAGTTAGAAGAAGAAACTCCAGCTGATGGTCCAAAAACTGAAGCTCTGCCTCCAGCTCGTAAGGAAGGGCATCTGCCACCCCTGTGGTGGGAGTATGTCACCCGTCCTCGTGAAATGCCCATGTGAAAGCTGTCCCATGTGGGTTGAAGTGGTCTGTCTTACTGTCTTTAAGCAGTTGACCTGTCAGTGACCACATGCTACTCTAAGTAATACAGAATAAAGCCAAATAAAGTAACAGAGAAGGCATTTTTCTGGTGTACTGCTCTGATCTAGCATGCACACACTTCCCTGCCAGCTTGTGCAGTACAGGTGACTGTGCCATGTGCATTGCATACCTGAAATGCCCCAGAACATTGGGCAGCCTGTGGAGAAGTCCTAATGCTGCACTGACACCAGGGCAAGTTCTGTTGCAGCTTTCACAGTAGGAGTTGAAAACTCAACTATGACACTGAAAAAAATGGCCACGTGAAACTCATGTTCCTAGAGAAGGAATATGTGAGCTTAAAAGGGTGGGAGAGGCAGATTTACTGGGGGGCTGGATCAAATGATAAGCACCTAAACTCAGAATAACTGGGGCAAGAGCCTGTCTCCTGCTGTGGAGAAGGTGGGAGGGAGGGTGGCTTGGAGGGAGTGGATGAAAATTGATAAACAGTTTATGGCCTGAACAAGAGATGGCAAAGACATGAACTTCAGCTGGTTTAGGGACTGAACACACATAGCTCAGAAATGAGAAAAGGCTTTAATCGGGCACTTCTGCATGCCACTCTTCAGTAATCCTACACGCTAAAATGTCTGAATTTGGCAAATGAAACAACTGCAGAAAACCAGCTTCACATATTCCACTACTGAAATTTTCATTCCTCCCAGGGAGTAGGATCTGTTCTCTGTGCTGCATTAGTCCAAAGGCAGTGGCAGGATTAATGCTGCTCTCTCCCAGCACTGCTGTACAGCACATGGCTCACCTCGGTTGGGAAGTCCTGGGAAGGTGTTGAGAGCACATCAGTGTTCTGGCTACTGCTGAGCAGTGTGCCACAGAGTCCAGGCTGTCCATTTGTCATCCCCCTCACCAGTGGGCTGGGGATGGCCAAGATCCTGGGATGGGACATAGCCAGGACCAGGATAGCTGACCCAAACAGACCTAAGGTGTAGGCTCTCTCCACAGGGCCACAGGTCCTGCAGGACTCTGCTCCAGCACAGGCTTCCAGCAGGGTCACACCCTCCTCAGCATCCACCTGCTCGGGCAGCGGCTCCTGCAGAGGCTGCAGGTGGATCTCTGCTGCCCCGTGGTCCTCCACGGGCTGCAGGGGCACAGCTGCCTCACCTTGGCCTGCACCAGGGGCTACAGGGAAAATCTGCTCCTGTGCCTGGAGCACCTCCCCCACTCCTTCCTCCCTGACCTCGGTGCCTGCAGGGCTGTTTCTCACATACTCTCGCTTCTCTCTCCAGCTGCTGTGGCTGTGACACAGTAACTTTGTCCCCTTAAATACATCATCCCAGAGGTGCTCCCACCTTCACTGTTGGGCTTGGCCTCAGAGCTGCCTGGTGTTGGCTCTGTTGGACACGGGGGAAGCTTCTGGCACCTTCTCAGAGCAGCCACTCCTGTCCCCCCAGTACCAAAACTTGGCCATGCAAACCCAATGCAGTGACAAATGGAAACCTTCAGACAAAAATGAATCCGTGGCAGTGGCGAGGAAATAAATTAGGCCACTGTGTGGTAGCTGCAAGAGAGAGAAACATCCTCCCCCTCTGCCTTTGTTGCTGAGAAAGCTGAACAAAAGTGTCAGTCACCCAGGGGCTGTGGGAGACAGTGCTGGTGCTGTCCTTGATAATCTTGGGCTGTAAGCATGGACAGTGTTGACAGCAGCAATGTTTCTCTTCTGGCGTAAGGAACTGTGGTCCAGCACTGAAAGGGGTGCACAAACACAGAATCATAGAATTCAGGGGTTGGAATGGACCTTACAGATCATCTAGTCCCAACCCCCTGCCCTGGGCAGACACCTCCTCACTGGATCAGGCTGCTCAAGGCTCATCCAGCCTGACCTTGAACACTGCCAGGGTCGGGGCAGCCACCACATCCCTGGGCAACCTGTGCCAGTGTCTCACCACCCTTACAGTAAAGAACTTTTTTCTCACATCTAACCTAGACTTTCCCTCCTTCAGTTTGAACTCATTTCTCCTGGTCCTCTCATTGCAGTCCCTAACAAAGAGTCCCTCTCTAGCTCCTTGTAGGCCCTTCAGATACTGAAAAGTTGCTAAAACATGCCGAGTTATCCACACATCCTGGATGGACAGGACATAGAGGTGCAGAGAAGTAGCATCAGTTACTATTTACCAGGAATTTCCATCGTTGGCACTGCACTTCTGCCACTACCCATCCAGTGCATTTTGGTAAAACAGCTATATGCAGTTTTATTTCCTGACTTTTTAATTCTTTCTTGCTTTTACTATGCGCAGAGGGAACCCGCATGACCTTGAGAAGTCTGGTGAAGGACACCACTGACACCCAGTGCTCTGGAGCAGAAAGAACCAAAACACACAAGTTTTCCAGCAGTTCTTTATTTATAATGTAGGCTTAAGCAATCATTACAATGTAGAAGGGAGACACACTTACAGCAATTATTTATACCAGTTTAGAACAAAAAACTGCACAGGGAGAGGTCAACTCTCAGTACAAACTAGCAACTAAACCACAATAATTTACCATTAGAAACATTTTATTTTTTAGCTGTGACACTGCTTTTACAATATGCAAAAACACAAACAATAGAACTATCCAAAGTGTTTTGTCACATTCTTTCTACATTGAATTTGGCAACATTTTATATTAAATTTTACTGATTATACTAACGTTTAAGAACTAAACAAGTGAAAAGCTGTACTTGGGTACAGTTACATCCATTTATTTCAAAGGTTTAAATAACACTTTTAACTATTGAGATTATCTCCTAGCAGTTTTTCTTTATGCAAAAACCATCCTCAAAGCCTCATTTGCACAATGCATCAGCTACTGTATCAAGATTGGTGGGCTACACCACAGGCACTACTGTTTATTATATTCTGTAATAAGGAGCTTGTTTTTCAAAGAAAGGAAGGTTTAGTATTCTCTAAGAATCATGCCTTTTTTTTGTCTTTTTTTTCTTTTTTGCTTTTAAGCCATAACAAAAAAAAAGGTTAGCAAGCACAGCAGTGTAAAATGTTATATAGAACACAGCGACTACACAGTTACTAGAAGTTTCACATCCAATGCAGTTATGTATTAAAGCATAAGAGGTCATGTAGGCAAGTCTAGAGCCAACAGAAATCCGCAGAGTGTGGTGGAAACCAGTCCCTTGTCCGTACGGTTCGGTGCACGCTGAAACAACCCTGGCTCCGCGAGTCTGGTGCCCATCCACGCCCGGGTGTGCTGTGGGTGGGCAGACAGCATCCTGCTGGATTGTCTGATGGGAACGCGCGTCACGCCGAGGGCTCTGCGGGTTTCTGCCGGCTTTACGACACGGGTATTGCAGCAATAACTTACTTTTACTTGAAGGAAAAAATCCAACTCTTAATGATTCTATCAACAGCGTTCCAAAAAACATGACTTAAAGTACAAAAAAAGAGAATATAGTGGTCAGACTCCCAGTATTATCAAAACCCCAGGATCTCTGCCCACCCCCCACCCCTCACCCCTCTCTTTTCGGTATTTAAGAAAAGCCGATCGACTGCCGTTTAAAAGAAGTTAAGAAAAACAAGCCCCTGTATTGGAAAGAAACATTCGCAGTTTGTTAGATCACAAGCTGGTTACACCTGTCAAATTTTTAAGTGTTTTCTCAAAATAGTTGGGCTTTCCAAGGTGCCCAGCCTGCTGGGCACGGTCAGAAAAAGGCATTTTGATAATATCTAAGAACTCCCTGCGTGCGGTTTAAAAATGTTTTCACATTTGTAACTGCCTTAAGCCTGTTGTCCTTGTCTGTATTCCGCAGAAGGATGAGTGGAACAAAACGTGAAGGTGGAGGAACCAAGCCTACACAGTTAAGGCTGCATGCATGTGACTGAGAGTTGTTGCTGTGCAGTCAAAAAAGAAATGTGGAAAAAACCCAGTCTTTAAAACACCCTACAGAAACAAAACACTGCAATCCAATATGGCTTATTCTGATGCATTTACCATGAAGCTACTAGTAATTCATCCTACTAGGCTACTCTTGTGCAACAGCATCTGCTATTTGATGGCATCTCCCTCCCCCCACTACTCCCCAAATACTCTACCAACTGCAGGTTTCTTCCTTGCATTATATATTGCTTTTATTGTCAATTTTTATTCCTGCTTTTCAAACTTTTAATACTTAAATGAGATTCTGTTCCTTACAGCTTGGCTTAAACCGTAGTAAGTCCCGTTGTTCTGTTTCTTTAACCTCACTATTACAAGGCGCTCTACAAAAAAGCCAGATTTTCATTAAATCCCTTTGCTGAAGTTAACTACTCGACAATTATTTTTTTTTCTCCTATGATTTAAAACTTTACAAAGAGAGTTATAAAAAAGGTAAATGGGATTTGGCACCTTCAGAAAAAATTAAAAGTGTAACTTAGATCAAAAAAATGCAGAAACAAAATCATTGATATTTACAAATTAAAACACCAGTGAAGATTATGTCTTACTATGCTCATTTGTTTCATGTTTCAGAGTACTTTCAGACTGTCTGTTACCGAGGAGCTTAAAAAATTCATTGATTACAGATTGGAATGGATAGAGACAAATTAGTTTCCTCACAGTTCCTTCTCGGTGGTTCGTACTCTGGCAGCGTCTCCGCTCCTAGGAAATACGCGGTGCCGAGCGATCGTTCGTGGTCGTCTTCTTCAGCTTGACCCCGCGCCGAATGGCGTTGAGCATATCCTCCCCCTGAGGGACATCCCCGGGGCTCAGCTCCCCGGGATCCAGCTCGGCCTGGCCCACGGGCGTGAGGGTGCTGAGCCCGTCGCGCTCGCTCTCCTCGCCCTCGCTCTCGGGCACCACTTGCCTCTGCTCCTCGGCCGCGC